TCTAATGGTGCCCCAACTTCTTCCAGTGCATTTGAGCTTAGAGGTCGGGAAGCTAACAAGTTAGATGAAAAAATGATCTTCGATGGGCTCAAACTAAACAGTGATATTATCCGTACCACAGCATTACCCAAGGCAAAATCTCACACAGAAAAGAAAGAGAATAGGCGCTCCTGGAGAATGTTTGTCCCACCCAGTTTTACAGATTATGCAAACAAGAGTGAAAACTCATTTGTTGATTCTGCTGACTTGTCAAGTATCACTAAAGCAAGCAAGTGCAGATGGGGCACTAATTCTCTAACATCTGAAGAAGATGACTCTGGTTTATGCAGCCCTCCAGCAGAGAGGGAAGAGAAACAGGACATTTTGACTGGGACCCAAAGTCAAGTCAGAAGCTTGTCCTCAGCAGAAGAGATCCATGTAATAGAACAGTACAGACCTTTTATTTCTGTTAATTCTAACAGTGAACAAAAAATCCCGTTGCTTTCCTGTAGTAGTGACCATATAGATGAAAACCACAAATTGATTTTGCATGTTGTTCCTCAAGTAGAAACAACAGAATTAAGTGAGCCACAGAAATGTGAAAAGCACCAGAGAGAGATCCAAGGTGAATATTGCCAGGTACAGAATGGTCTGAAGGAGAGTGTCATGAGGCAAGACACACTGTTTCTGCCAAGAAGTGGAGAGGGCAACCATGATTCTGACCATAGAGAAGGGGAAAAGATGTGTGAGGTTTGTGAATCAGGGGGACCACAGGCTTTAGACTCCCAGTTCACGGATGTGATGATGAATAATGTGGATTGTGGCAGCACAACTCTATTAGAAAATGTGATACTCTGTGATTTAGAAAAGTCTGATACACCTCCAGAAGAATTTGAGGTGCAGCTTTCTGATCAGGATATGGAGTCAGACCGCCCAAAGTCTTCTTCAGAATGTACTCCTGTGAGAAATAAAGCAGTCTCTTGGAAAATAAGCACAAACTCAGAGACTTTGGTGTCTATATGCAATGGCTTTCCATCAGTTCAGGTAATTAATTGAAATGTGAAACTCAGAATTGCTGGCCCCAGGCCCAAGAAAGTTTGTTGTTTTGCCCTCATCAGAGTGCCACCTATTTCTCTGATAAATAACCATCAAATTCAGCATTTTGTTGGGGGTGGAGGAGAAAGTATTTTAACAAGATATTGCAAGATGCTAGAAAACTGATAAGTTGGTCATTCTAACAAATTAATTAGGGGCAATTTTTGACAGTGGTGGATTATTCCCAGCTGTTTAGGGCTGTGCTATTGATTGTCCAGATGGTGCCTGCTTTCCTTTTTTGAGTGCTTCCACTGTGAATTTATGTTCACATGAAGCTTTTACACAAATTGTGGCTACAGGCACTACCATTCAAGGGCAGTTATACTGAATTTATTCAGCTTAAACAGTCTGAGTCATAAATTTCCGTATTGTGGTGGTAGACAAGGTACAGTACACAAATTAAAGAATTGTTCCCTTTTACTGACTTTTTTCTCACAAGCTGTGCATCAGAATGTGGATTTCTAAGCTTCTATTTTACAAACAGCATCTCCTCAGTTTTTAAGAGTGGTGAGTGAAGTTAGAAAGTAAAGAGTGCAGCTTTGTAATAAGTAGAGGTTGTTTGTGGAGTCTGTAATTTTTGTCCTCCTACTCAGATGGGAGTTTAGCTATTTTGGTATTTTTCACTAAGCTCTTCTGGTAAACTTTGCCTCAGAGATCATTTTAATTTATTTTAAGCTTCTCTTTGTAAAGTTTTTGGGTTAGATTGGAGAAGGAAACCTTGTCATCTTTGGTATCATGTTACCACAGAACGATAAGGACTCTGGACAATATTAGGAGAGTTCTTGTTAGTACTGTGAAATGATAGTCCTGAAGCAATGCCAGGTGCTTTTCCTAGTAGGGTAGGAGAGGAGGGATGAGACTGCTAGCTAGCAAGAGGAGAGTTTTAAGGGCTCTGTGAACTTTTTCTGCAGATGTTTTGCCACCTTTTTTTTTTGTGGTAATTGAGCTCTTAGCATTAAGACTTTGCAGCATTTTCTCCTTTAATGTTTGGTGCCATTTAGTGATAACTCAGGAAGAGGACAAAGACTCCAAAAGTTGCTTAGTTCCCCAGCTAAATGTACCCTTAAAGTCTATTTCTTTAGAGCTAGGATCAGAGCTTTTCTCTCCTACAGAGGGGGAAAAAATAGAACTTTGCCCTAATCATACAGAGCTCTGGGGTCAAGAGTTTGGTAGTCTTTCCATTCTTCTTTGTTTTTTGTGGAGTTCTTACCCTTAACTAGATCTGTTACTAGCAGTTTTGATTTAAATAATATTTCAGCAAAAAATAGAATCACAGTATCAAATTCTACCTTTCCTTCCTTGCTCCAAGTTTCTACCAACTGCTTGTATTTTTTATAACCCTTTCTTTCCGATGCCAACTCCTCTCACCTTCTCCCCCTCCCTACATGTTTTTCTTTGATTTCATGCAAGTGATTTTTATATTCAGTTTAATAATATTGAAATATAAGATATTTTAATGTAAAATAATTTAAAGGTTATTGTGGAGATTTCAAGTTGAATTTGGATCCTAGGGAGTGCAAGTCAGATATGGCCCTAAGCTCATAAGCACTAATTTTATCCCCTCTATATTTTTCAAAGTTATTTTCCAGCCTCCAGTAATGTTTTGCTTCACTACTACACTAATATTTGCTCTGATAGTTCCTCTAACATTTCTTTGTATGGTCTATGGAACTGACTAATCTATACTCTGACATTTTTATATACTGTTTGTCATTATATAAATGTATTTGTCTCTGAAACCTAGACTTGCCAAAGTTTGTCTTAATTTTTAGTGCAAAAATTTTTTTCAAGCAAATATTTTCCTTTTGTCATCTTCTGAACCAGTGAATAATTTTTGTCCTCTGTTTGTTATATTAAAGGCATTTTAAAAAATGCCTTTAATATCTACATAGCCTATATCTAGATCATCTAGATGTTGACATAGCTATATAAGCTGTTTGCCTCATCTTCCTCATCTGTAAAATAGGAAAAATAATAGCATGTACTTCCCACAGTTGTTATGAGGATAATGATATTTGTAAAGCACTTTGCAAACTATGAAGCACTATATAAATTTTAGCTATTAATATAAATCTATCTAATGTAACTTTTTTCATATTATGTTACAGGATGAGGAAGAATTGGTAGCACATACAAGACACCACAGAAGTCTTAGTGCAGTTTTAAACTTTAATAAGCTTTTGGAATATTTCGTATATAAGTCTGTCTCCTCTGTCTTCTGTGCTACTCCCTATCTCCTCCTAGCACCTTCTCCCCCTCCCCCCCCAGAGATAAGGGGAAATACAAAGTTTTGTGGATCCAGGAGCAGTAGGGACATCCTGATGGTAAAGAAAAGTGTTGGTAAAAGCAGTGGGTGTCAGTGTGCCTGGCTGATTTGCTTACCCAAATGTAGACTACAATTTCAGATAGAGAAATGAGTATAGATTGAAGTAAATTGGCCAATCTACTGTAATTTACCTGTAGGTCAGTATCTTTGGGGTCTGTCTCTGTCTCTTTCTGTTTCTGTCTCTGTCTCCATCTCTGTCTCTTTGTGTCTCTGTCTCTGTCTCTGTCTCTCTCTTGCGCATGCATGCACACACACAGACACACACAGAGTTTTGTTTTATTCAGATCATTCCAGCCTACCTTTCTTTGTCTTTTTTTTTTGCCAGCTTAGTGGAATACATTATCTGTGTGATGATATGCAAGTCACTAAAACCTCTATTGAGCCTCAGTTTATTCATCTGCAAAATGGGGAGAATATCTGTCCTATGTACCTCACATGGTTGACTATGACGCTTAAATGCAAATGTATTTGGCTGTTGGGGCAGCCATATGCTGAATCTTGTGACTGACCTCAGAATCTTATCTGGCTCCTCTCCTTCAATTTGGTCTCCAATTTCTGTTGAAAGTCATTTTTGGCCATGGTTAAGGAGTTGTATTTAACGAATCTTAAATTTCATTTTTGTGACTCTTCGTGACTCTGTTTGGGGGTTTCCTTTGCAAAGATACTGGAGTGATTTGTCATTTCCTTCTCTAGCTCATTTTACAAATGAGGAAACTGAGGCAGACAGGGTTAAATGACTTGCATGGAGTCACACAGCTAGTTAATGTCTGAGGCTGGATTTGAACTCAGGTCTTCCAGACTCCAGGCTTGGTGCTCTGTCCACTGCACCATCTAGCTGTCCTAGGTGCACCTTTTGTCAGAACTCTCCACAATGACCTGTCCATCTTTAGTAACCCTCAACTACACAGCTTATAGTTTCATTGAACTAAACAAGCCGTTCTGCCATGACAAGACAGTGTTGAGGGGGAGGTAGGATTTTATTTGTGCTAACTTTTTAAAAGTCATTTTGGTGCCCCTTCCTAGAGTTCAACTTTTAATAATTTTTTCCCTCTGAACAAGTCACTATTCTGTTTTTCAGTCATTTAATTCTACTTAAAGAATCATAGGTCTAGAGGTTTTCCCAAAGTCATACAGATGGTGTTGTCCAGTTCCTTTAAAGATTGACTGGTTGTGTAATACCAAGTATCCTTCACTCTCTGGAAAACTTGCAGCACAAGCCTAATGGTGTGGTAAAAAGAAATAATAATATTTTTTTCCTTTACAGTGAATTACTCACTCTCTCTCTCTCTCTCTCTCTCTCTCTCTCTCTCTCTCTCTCTCTCTCTCTCTCTCTCTCACACACACACACACACACATACACACACACATTTAATTTTCCCAAGTTGTTCTGGTAGTACAATCATCTTACATTTAATTCAGCTTTCATGCATTTAATTGGTTTTGTGTGAATGGGTTGTTATTTGCATTAGTGGAAGGAATATACACATTGATGGGATCTTTAGACAGTTAATATTATAATTGTGGTTTTTTTAGCACTTAAAAAAGGATGAAAACAAATGTATATGCATTGCAATGTGTACTGTTAATGTTGTATCCACAGGCTTTCCAAAAAGAGGAGATTGAACCTTTACAGGTTAAACAACAAGAGGTCAATTGGTTGGGTCAAGGCCTTATTCAGAGTGCTGCAAAAAGTACTAGTACTGAGAACCTGGAGCATGATCTTGAAGATGTTAATGCACGGTGGAAGACCCTTAATAAGAAGGTAGTTTTATTATTTCTTTATTTAGATTCTTAATAATAAGACAATGTTCCCTTTTATAGGAATTTTTGAAAAATCTTAATACCTTAGTTTTTATTTCACTTATATTTATGGTAACTATAAGAAAGCAGAGACACAGTGTTCATTAGTGCATAAAGTCAGGAAAACCTGGGTCCAGATTTAACCTCTGACATAAAATGCTTGTGACTTTGGGCAAGTCATTTAACCTCTTTTGGTTTCAGACAACTCTCTAGGATTATAAATTTGAGAGCATTGGGCTCTACATATGCAGAAGAAGTTCCCCCACCATTGAAATCACGGCTCCTTAGTTTATTAACATATGAAATAGCTTCAGGATTAGGTAATCCAAGTCCTGATAAACTATCAAATTATATAACTTGTTTCTTTTTATTCCCAAGAAATCACCAAATTCAAGCCTTATTTGACAAGTTATAGGTGTCGCCAATATTATTCTAGAAATTATTCTCTGGAAATCCCTAAGATAATTTACACTGCTGTCATAGCTATAAGAAAAACAACAATAATAAAACTTTCTGTACAGTGACATCTGTGTGTAAAAGAGGCAGCTAGTTCACTGGAGAACAGACATGCCAAAAAACTTAATTCTAGGTGGAATTTTCTTCTAATAGCTTATACAATCTACTTTTAATCCTCACCAGGACTTGCAACTATCATAAAATTGGTCTAATTTTTCTTCCCATTATTTCTTTCTGAAATGCACTGACCAGTTTTTAAAAATATAATTAGAATCTACTATGAGATTTTAAATATATCTAAAATTAAAATACATAAATTTTAACTTAAAATATATTTCAAATATAGGTTTAAAATATAAATACATTTTAAATATATACATTCAAAATACAGATTTAAATTAAAAATAAAACATTTTCAGTGGCCATTTCAGATATAAAAGCAAATTAGTGAATTTTTTCTCTTAGAGATAAAATGGCTTCAGAAGGAAAGGCCAGAGACTAGTGATATCTGGTTGCTTGGGAACCCTATTGGATATCTTTCCAAAAAAAGAACTATTTTATTCGTGTAAGATAATGCTGCTACATTGTAGTTTTCTTAAGACTTTTGTTTACTTAGAAATCCATGTTTCCTTGTGATAATTAAGATGTGATATTGCTGACAATGTAACAAAAATCATTCTTCTTCAGTGCCTCTAGAATATCTGAATATTTGCTTACTATGAAATTATTTAGAATTCCTAAGTTCTTAATTTAAATATCTAATTTCTTTACATCTTAATTTTTGTTAGATATTTGAATATTGCAAATGTATTACATTATAAGATTTCGTTTACCAACCTTGAAAAATGATTTTTCATACCAAAATAAATGCTCCTCTTTCAAACACCAACAAAAATCAGAGACAAATGAAAAAAAAAGTATGTGAAAAGTGATAGAAGATGAAAAGTCCTGTGTTTTCCACAAAATAAAGAAATACATGATTGACCCTCTTGCCCTGCTTAGGTTGCTGAGCGAGCCGCTCAGCTTCAGGAAGCTCTGCTCCACTGTGGGAGGTTCCAAGATGCTCTGGAATCTCTGCTTAGTTGGCTAGTTGATACTGAAGATCTTGTAGCCAATCAGAAACCTCCATCTGCTGAGTTCAAGGTGGTGAAGGCTCAGATACAAGAGCAAAAAGTAAGTAATCATTTTTTAATTTCCTTTTTCTTTTTCTGTTTCAACAGTGAGAGTAGATTTTGAAATATGTATGCCCTATGTTGGTATTTGCATACTGTTTTCTGTCTGAGACCTAGAGTAATGTAATAGTTAATATGTGGATGAGATGCCCCTTCATCAATTTTACATTGTGTTTCTTTTACTTCCCTTGATAGAATGTAAAGTCCCTGAGAGCAGGAAGTGTTTGATTTTTGTCTTTGTATCCCTAGTTCAAAACACAATGCCAGGCACATAATAGGTGATTCATAATTGCTTGTAGATAATTGATTGAATTGAAAAATACTACAAATGTTTAGCCTAGAGAAGAAAAGAAAAAAACTAAAGGGAACACAACTATGAAGTATTTGAAGGGCTAATATATGGAAAAGGAATTAGACTTATTTCTGTTTGGTCCCAGAGTGTAATCAACCAGTCAACAAATATTTATTAAGTGTCTGCTCTGTGCCAAACATTATGTGAGGTACTAGGGATATGGCAAAAATAAAACAGGGTCTTTCCTCAAAGAACTTTGATTCTTTATTGGAAATGGCTTATTCACAGGTAAGCTATAGCAGATATATGCAATAAATGGAAAATAATTTGGAAAGTGAGCACTAGCAACCAGGCAGGGGGGAAAACAGGAACCCTCTTAAATCTGGGATTCGGCCATTCTCAGAATGTATCATAAAATTCTCAAAAGAAAAATAGATTTTGATGCATTGCTTTATAGTAAGGCAAATATCATGCAGCATTTTTGTGGGTTAAGGGAAGATGAGCAATAACTGTGTTTCACAGTTTCCTGAGGGATTAGTACTATAATCATGGCATATGTGAATCTTCACCAGAAAAATTGATCTTGATATACTAAGGATTTTTACAACTTTTGATTAAATATCTTGCTGCAATTGCTTCCTTAAAATAGGGTTGAATTAGCTAGGCACATTTTCTAGAAACAGAGTAATTGGTCCTTCAGGACTCTTCCACAATTTTTGCCTGGTGATATAGTATTCTCTATAGCATATATTACTACATGGGGCCAGGGATTTAAGTCACTTGATCTAATCCCTTTCTGTGAAAAGAAATTTTAATTAAAAAAAAAACCCAGTATGTTCGGAATTCATCTTTTGGAGAGATATCACAACTAAATACTCTTAGTAGCAAAGATTAATGAAACAGAATGACCTAGGTATATTGGGGTACCTCTTTCTGTCTAATTAAACCATTATCACTTATTTTACTTACTTGAATTTGAGTTCCCTACCAGCTGTAATAAGGATTCACCTTGAAGGTCCCTTGCATGATTTAAATAATATCAAGTCTTAGCCTAAGCATAGCACGTGAAAACAGTATGCATGATTCATCTGTATAACCTCTTCAACTTTGCTAAGTCCTTCCTCTTGAACCACATCGGTCACAAGTTCCACCAGATAATTGCCTTTAATGCATTTTCTCTAGGGGCTATAAGCATTCCCCTTCCTACCTCATTTTGACCTCTTTTTATAATGTGACATTTTAAGAGACTTGCTTTCTTTTCTTCCTTTTTTTTGGGGAGGGGCAGGCAGTACGGTGAATAGAGCACTAGGCATAAAGTCAAGAAGACTTGAGTTCAGATATAGCCTTAGATACTTAGCTGTTTGACTTGAGCAAGTCACTTAACTTTGGTTTACCTCAGTTTCCTCATCTATAAAATGGGAATAATGATTGTACCTACTTCCCAGGGTTGTTGTGAGGATCAAATGAGGTAATATTTGTGAAACACATAGCATAGTACACTCTGGCATATAGTAGCTACTATGTAAATGTTAGCTATTATTAGTGTTGGTGGTAGTAGTAGTAGTAGAGCATTTAGCATAGTAATTGGCACATAGTAGGTACCTCATAGGTCAGCTAGTCTAATCTACTGCTACCTGAACAGGTATGTACTTTACATTATCGCTGATAAGTGGTCATTCCTGAATCAGAATCTGCTTTATAATATTCCTGACAAGTATGTCTCCTCTTGAAGATCTCTAGTGAAGGGAGAAACCTACTATCAGTTGATTACTATATCAACAAGCAATTATTAAACACTATATGTCAAGGACTGTGCTATATGCTAGAGGGTACAAAGAAAGAGCAAAAGTGGCTCCAACCCTCAAGGAACTTATTATATTCTAATGGGGGAGACAACAGGTAAATAATGAGGTACGTACACATAGAGTAGATGGAAGGTAACATTAGAGGTGGAGATGCTAGCAGCCAAGAGGTAGGGAAGGTTCTTTTGGAGACAGAGGCTTTTGAGATGAGTCTTGAAGGAAGGTACAGATTCTAAGATGAAAAGATGAGAAGAGAGAGCATTCCAAGTATGGGAACAGCCAATGCAAAGGCTTGGAGAACTAGAGATAGAGCATCCTGTGTGAGGGACAACAAGGAGGTCATTATGGCTGGACCATAAATTTGGGTGGTTGGGGAGTAAAGTATGAGTAGACTTAAGAGGACTGGTAGGATCCAGGTTGGAAATTCTAAAAAGAGGGAAGTCCAGTGGCATTTGTTGATCTGGGGCAAGAGCTCAAAAGACATACTAGGGCTGGTTATATAGATATGTGACTCATTTATGTTGGGATGACAATGAAACTCATGCAGAGAGGGAAGAGAAAGCCTAGGACAGAGACTTGGGGGACACTCATGCTTAGTGGGCAAGACATGGGTGAAGATTCTAACAAAAAAGAATAGGGACCGGTGAGACAAGTAGGAAGAGAGCCAAGAGAATGGTGTTTAAAAAAAAAGCCTAGAGTTGAGGGCGTACAGGAAAAGGCGGTCAACAATATGAAATGCAGATAGGCCAAGAAGGATGAGGATTGAGAAAAAGCAATTAAATCTGTTGTTTATTAGCTCATTGGTAACTTTAGAGAGAGTAGTTTCAGTGGAATGATGAGGTTGGAAATGTGATTGTATAGGTTTTAGAAGAGAATGAGAGGAAAGGAGGTGAAGCCCTTACAAAGAATTTACAGGGGGAAGAGTTATGGGGTGATGTCTTGGAGGGCATGGTAAGATCTTTTTAATCTTTTTTTTTTTAAAGGGGGCTTTTTTCATTAGAGGGCTGGGAGAGCCTTGGATGTGTTTATGGGCACATAGGAAGGAGCTAGGAAGGACCAGTAGATAGTGAGTGATTCATGCATGTGAAAGAGTGGATGATAATGGGAGAGGTCTCCTTAAGAAGATCAAAGGCAAGGGTCAACCTCTATGAGATAGAGGTTGGCCTTGACAAGGAGAAGAGGCATCTCTTCATCAAAGACCCATATGGGGAATGGTGCCAGAGAGATATGAGTAGAAAAGAAAGGCAAAAGAGGGACTTCATGGTGAATGGCCTTAGGATTTTTGGTGAAATATGAGGAGAGATCCTCAGTTGAGTTGGTAGAAGAGGGGAGTGGGTACTTTGGGAGCTAGAGGAAAGAAGAGAATGTCTGGAATAACCACTGTAGTGAATGGGATGGAGAGACAATTTTGAAGGAGTAGAAGCATCACCTTTCTGCATTGACATTTATATAACAAACTTGTAGTGGACAAGCCAGTGTGATTTTGTAACTTACTCCAGCTCTGTTCAGCAGCACACAGATAGAGGAATAAAGGGGTAGAAAGGTGAGGATAATTGTTATTTGGGTTTTGGCATGGCATGATGAACAATAGGATAATGGAACAAGGGATCCAAGGTTAGAGGATAAAGTTGAACTAGTTCACCAAGGGAATGAAATTGGAAAGGGAAGAGAGTGGAGCATGGGAAAGTTCTGCGAGGTTGGAGGGATTGGAGGTTATGATGAGGATGAAGAATAGAATTAGGGAAGAGATGAAATACTAAAAGAAAGTAAAGGGAATTCAGAGGTCTTCAACATGGAAGTGGAAAACTTGTAGTTGGATAGCAACAATCAAGGCTGTGGAGAGAGAGAGAGAGAGAGAGAGAGAGAGAGAGAGAGAGAGAGAGAGAGAGAGAGAGAGAGAGAGAGAGAGAGAGAGAGAGAGAGAGAATGAGAATGAGAATGAGAATGAATGTCTAAAGGAAGAGAGTTTTCTGAGTAATGGAAACAGAGGAGAGTCCAGAAGTGGCAAGAAAGTCTTCTGAATTTGCCCCCTGGGACTAGTGCTTCAGAGAGTATGAGAGAAAGTTCAGCCAGTACTGGAAAAAGTGCCAGGGAATGCAGTATCATTTGGGAGGAGCCACGTCCAAATTTGTGCTAGAAGATGGAAGAAATGAAAAAATAAGATTTAAAATGAAGGAAAATTTGTTAAAAAATAGAGTGGGAACTGGTTATAGATTAAGTTGAATGGGTGCACTACTAATTTTTTAATAAGTTAAGAACTTATTGTTTCCTGAATGCCACTTAGCAAAGAATTTGAGTTTTGCTGAAGCTTAGCCCAAAAATCAGAGGATTTAAAGATGGCAGGGATTTAGAGGTAATTTGGTCCAGTCTCCTAATTTTTATAGATAAGAGAACTGGGTGACAGGTTGTTAAATGACTTATTCAAGGTCACATAGCTAATAAGTGGTGGAACTGAGATTTGAACAAAGGACCTATGACTCCAAACCCAGCACTTTTCCATGGTACCAGCCTAGATACTGGTCAGAGATCATGTTAAAAAGAACCAAGTATTTTTGATTTCAGTATCACAAGCATAAAATAATAATTTTCTAATATTCAGAACATTACAGCTTCTTAACAGCCAGATTCTGATTTTTCCCCACTTTCAAAAAATTCAGAAACCATATATAGAATCCTCTATACTTTTTTTAAGTCAAAAGTCAATGGAGAATAGTTTAGTGAAATAATTTATCAACATATAAGTCAACCGTGAATTTTTATTCTTTTATCTACAATGTATTAAAAATAATGTTAGCCTTGAAAATAGCCCTCTTCCTTCCCTTTTCTCTGTCCTCTGTAAAATATAAGATAAAAAATAACAATCATTTGGGATATAGTTTCCTTTTTATCTCTGTAGCACAGTGTTGATAGTTGTTTTCTGGTTATTTAGTTATTTAATTGCTTTGCCCTAAGCTTCTCCAGAGATTGTTGGATGACCGAAAGCCTACTATTGAAGGAATCAAGATAGAAGGGGAAAAAATTGCAGCAACAGCAGAACCAGCAGATAAAGTAAAGATTTTGAAACAGCTGAGCCTCTTGGACAGTAGATGGGATGCATTGCTTAATAAGGCTGAAACAAGGTATTTGGAACTATTTTAGTATGTTTGAGTTAATAGTGATGTTAATAATAAAAACTATGCCATTTTTGATTTGTGTTTTTATTTAGATACTTAAGTATTTTATCTATTTACCTTATTCTTTTCAGTAATCTAAGGAATGATAGTCCTCCAAAATGTATTCTTCCCCCCCCCCCCCATTATTCCATATTTCCTCCTTATTATTTCAGGTAATGTTGAAGCCTCATAACCATCAGAAAAGCTCTAGTCTTCTAAGCTATAGAAAGCCATCTCCTTTCCTGGGGGTGATGAACTTTGGGAGGGGGGTCCAGGGAGGTGAGAGATATTCTTGATTTGATCTTAGAATTTTGGGGAGGTTACATGAAGCTTTCTCCAGAAGACTTTTTCTTTCTATTCTTTTAAAAAAATCCTTTGGAAATGTCAAAGAATCCCTTCTCTTCCTCCATAGTTAGTTGATCTCTAGGATGAAAGCCACTTCTCTAGCTTGGCATTTAGTTAGGGGGAGCAATGCTAGAGCTAAAATCCTCAAGAATTTGTAGGGTGAGGGATCTGTGTTGAGCTCCATTTTTCCTGAAATGGGAATACAGCTATGATCCTCCGCTGCTAGATAGAAGGTTTGGAAGGTTGAGAAAAGGACTGTATACAAAATCCTTTCTTCACCAAATCTCTCTTTTGTAGGGAAGATAGATATTCTTATTATCTCCATTTTTCTTATGGGGAAAGTGAAGCCTAGAGTGGTGAAATAGCTAACCCAAGGTCATATAACTGGTGAATATCAGAGTTAGGACCTTAATCCAGCATTTTTTCTTTTATGTAACATTTCCTCTCTACTCCCAACAGGTTCTACTTTAGTCATAGAGGCAGCCACAGGCAATCAGAAAACTGAAAATACTCCCATTTAGATGAAGTCATTCGAACTATTTGTGGAGGAGGAAGGGGAAAGTGATTGCAATAGTGAAAAATGGAAGCATCCTTTAAACTTCTAACTTCTCTTTTAGACCTCTCTGCTCACTGTATCCACGTCAAATCTGCATGTGACTTGACCTTATTCCTAGGAATATGAGTGGAAATCTATGGCTGATCTTGAATCATGTGATGTTAAATGTTAGCTTAGGTAGGAGAACTATGGAAAGATGTGGCACTTAGGTCAACCAAAGTCTCTTCTGGGTCATATCTCCATTGCTCTGCATTTCCATTTTATGCTTTTATTTGCCTTTGTGACACCTTCCTCATGGTCATATGACATAAAAATACATGGGTGCTTTTTATAGGATAATAATCCTTTCTCCTGTAGTTCAGTAAATTTGTGATTTCATTATATGAGTACTCCCATTATTGACCTAGATAACAACCCATTCAGGCCTGCCCACCCTATGTGGTTCCTCACTCTGCCATCCTATAAAATCTTGCCCAGGGATCTACCCAATATGGTTGGGGTGTTTTCCTCCAGGTTGTCATGACATTATGCAGCTAGCAGTGTATATATGGGCAGTTCATCCCTTTCTCTCATTATTTGACTTGATTCACCTCTTTTCTTTCTGGATTATTTCTCTGATGAAAATCTCCAATGTATATTTTTCATCAAGCAAATTAAGTCCAAGCTATGTGTTTCATAAAATTGAAAATGTGATTCATAAATTTCATTATATATTATTTTTACTCATGTCTCCCCAATCTGGTGACAGTTATTTTTAGGTCATGTTATAGATCTTTCTAGTTTTTGATTTGTGTTAACCCAGCATACATCAAACTTTTAGATGCCGATTAACAAATATATGAAATTATAAACTAATAAGCTTTTATAAATATAAATGCAAACTATCTGATAGCTGAGGTTACATTTTCCATTTTATATGTGCAAAAATGAAGGAACATGGAGAAGAAAACAAAAAAATATAGATCTAGGCAGAAGTTCTATTTCTGCCATATAACAGAGAAATTTATGTCTTCAGTACTGGCAAAACAAATTACTTTCAATTGTAGGTTTGTTTGATATGTTTAAAACAAAAACAAATTAATTAGATTTTTCTAACCTCCTGTTCTCCTAATGTCACTTGTCGATATTTCATAGTTGCCTTTGATCCATTAGAGGGATAGTCTGGCATCCTATATAATTCCCTGAGATAATAAGAGGATTATCAGGATGCAAATTAGTCCCGAGCAGAAATACTCAGGAGGATGTGAACTGAACCACTGAGGTGGATTTCTGTCCATACTCTATAGGCCAGTGAAATTACTTGCCTTTGCAAAAACTTTAGGTACAGTGAAACAGTGTTTTTAATTGACATAGATGAATTCTCCAACAGCAGCTATAGCTACAACATAACCTCAAGCTGAATTTATGAGTATAAACAAAAAATACTTTAATGCTCATAAGAATCTACATTATAAAAATGGTTGTCTTAAATCTAGGTAATATATCCCATCTTTCAGTGTGAGATTTTTTTTAATTGGGAAAAAGCTAAAGATTTTATCTAAAAACTGAATTCAGTGACCATTTGATTTTTCAGATGAAAGACCATGTATACACATTTACAACTTTAAAAAAACCCAAATGTGATTTTTTTCTATTCTGTTTTCTCACTGTCAACTTTTGTCAGTTTTAAAAATAATTGTCTTTATCCCAAAAGAGGAAACATTTGCCATTCTCTGTAATTTTTTGAAGAATTACACACAGTATATATGTAATAAGTGGTTGCTGAGTGAATGAAAGAGGTGTTGTATCTGACTGAAGGTTGAAAAGTATTCTAACCATTTGAAAGAAAAGTTTATTGCTCAAGTAAAGCTTGACTGAAATTCAGGTAATTGTATTTTTCCCTTAATTTGCTGGCCAGAAGGATTGATAAAATTTGTTCTTAGAATATTTAATTTAATATTCATTTTAGATTTATGTGAATTCCTGTAGAATACTTTTGACGAGAGTCATACAGGATAGGCAGGCCTGAATAGACTATCTTACTTGTCTTATACTTGGATTGCCTTTATACTGAATTTTCATGATTAAAAATTTACACTGAGCCTGAGGCCACACTTCATCAAAGCATGACTTTAACTTTGCTTGGCATTTTTGTAGGAATCGTCAGTTGGAAGGGATCTCTGTGGTGGCACAACAGTTTCATGAAACATTAGAACCATTGATGGAGTGGCTCACAACCACCGAAAAAAAGCTGACAAATTGGGAACCCATAGGAACGCAAGCTTCTAAACTTGAGGAACAGATTGCTCTGCACAAAGTAAGAAAGAAACCACACAGTAGAAGGAATAAATTTTCAACTTAGTTTCTGATTTTATGATACTAGGAAACCCCATAAATTTGATTGATGTACCATTGATCTGTGCCACTATTTGCCAAGTCCTGTTCTTTGTACCTTGGTGTCCTCTAGAATCCTAAAATCTTTCTCTTTCTCTCTGCTCGTGTGACCACAAACGTTGCTGAGATTCTCATACCTCTAGCTTGGACTACTGCAGTAGTAATTGCGCAAGTTCCTGGGTCTCCATCTTTCCCCAGGTGGATTCATCCTCCACACGACTGCCGAAAGAATCTTCCTAAAGCAAGATTTTACCTCATCACTCCTCTACTCAGAAATCTTCCCTGTTGTCTCTAGGATAAACTACAAACTCCTCTGCTTGGTGTTTAAATCAGCCCATCACAATTTGACTCCTGTCTTACCTTTTTTAGACTGAATTCACATGATTGCCCTTCATACACACTTATATTTAGACTAGCTTGATTTACCTGCTGTTCACTGAACTAAGCATTGACATCTACCTCCATGGCTTTACATAGTCTGTCCCTTTTCCTAGAAAGTGCCACCCTCCTTTGGGAATCCATCCCTAAATTCCCCTAGTTGTTAGTGTTCTTTCCTTCCTCTGTTAATCTTATATTTGCTTGCCTTTGTATATTTTGTATACCTCAGTAGAATGTAAATGTCTTTAGGGCAGGGTTATAAAACATCTTTGTATTTGGATTGCCTAGTCTGCTCAAGTCAAAAAGCATTTATTAAGGGCTTACTGTGTGCCAGGCACTGTGCTAAGCACTGGGAATATAAATACAAACAAAAAGAAGACAGCCCTGTCCTAAAGAGCTTACTTTCAAATGTAGGAAGACGAGCTAAAAAACAGATTGTGATACAAGGTACCTGCATAGTGGGAAAAGTGGTAAAGTCTGGAGGGTGAGAAGCAGAGCTAGGAGATAAATAAAAGATGCTCAGCCTAGGGTTGTTCTCAAAATGACATTTTCTGTGAGGAACTCCCCAATGAGAGAAGGGGGCCACCAAGCCTGGAGGGAACTTCCAGGTGGAGAAGGCAGCTTGAGGAGTGGGGGTAAGATCTGTGAAGTCATAAGCTGAGGAAGAAGAGGAATTAAGTCCCTTTCAGAAATGTAGATAATAAATGTTTGTTGGTTTTTATTAAATGTCTTATGCAGAACTTAAAATTCCTTTAAACATTTTATTATTTGATTATATTTCTGTTTTCATTTTTATTTGTCCATTTTTTGGTTATCTCTATTTTCTTTTCTTTTTGAACTTCACTTAGGCCTTAGAAGATGACATCATCAATCACAATAAAACTTTACATCAGGCTCTTAGCATTGGCCAGTCTTTAAAGATTTTGAGCTCCAGGGAGGATAAAGATGTGTTGCAGGAAAAACTAGACTCCTTTCAAGTTTGGTACATTGAGATTCAAGGAAAAAGTCACAGCAGGTCTGAGCTACTCCAGCAGGCCTTTTGTAATGCTCAGATTTTTGGCGAAGATGAAGTGGAATTGATAACCTGGCTGAATGAAGTTCATGACAAACTCAGCAAATTGTCAGTCCAAGATTACAACATTGATGGGCTATCAAAGCAACAATCTGAACTTCTGGTATTTTGGTTTCTTTTTTTTCTTTTTAAATTAATTTAATTTCCTTTGTTTCCATTATTTCTGTTATTTTATTTTATGTTTCTTTCTGATTGTTATGAACATATTTCCATATGGATACCTATATTTATGTATAATGTCTGTGCACACAGTGCACATGGTTATTAGTCACTCCAGTGGATAAGGGTTGTATAAAAAGGGAGTATAACAAATTATGGGGTAGAGTATTGCTTATGGTAGATTAAGCCATACCAGTGAAAAGGGGATCATGAAAGAAGGAGAAAACAAGCCATCATCATGAATTGTACTTTTGAAATGTGTGAATTATTGTTCTAGTTCTCTGAGAGAAACTAAAATTTACTTTGGATTTAAATTTTTGCCCAAATTAAAATGCTGCTTACCTGTCTTTAGGCTCTACAAGAGGACATTCTACTCAGGAAACAAAATGTTGATCAGGCATTGCAGAATGGTTTAGAGCTCCTAAAACAGGCAACAGGTGAGAACTTTAAAGAAGCAATGGAAGTGGAAGATACCATTTTTCCAGGGGTCAGTGAAGGACTTGAGAAAAAACAAATAAGATTAGCTTTGTGATACTGGGCCCACTTCAGACCACCCCTGCCCCCTTTTGTGGTGAATTCTTTGATGACCATTCAAGGATTTGTGGAATATGGTATCACTTTGGTTCCCATGACCTCACTGCAGTTCTCAGGACAAGCTGTGTGTATTACTCAGGATACAGAAGCCCAGTACTGATGTGGATTCCTTTTCTTATTGTGGAGATAGTTGCTCCAGAAAAGAGCATAGCACAGAGGCATTTTTTTTAAAGTTTAGTTGTGATACAGTTAAAATACAAATACTGTGGTGAAGTCAGTGGATCAGTGAAAGTTAGAATATTGTTTTTATTGATGTGTACCTGAACCCACTAAAGAAAATTACTCAATTGTAACTCAGTGAGTTGAAAGTATTGTAATAAAATGTAAACTTGTGTTAGAACTATTGGCTGGTTATAGGAAAGCTAGCCTTGACTCTCAGGCTCTTTCTGGTTCAAATGTTTTTATTCTACCTATCAGTCCTTAACTGGTTTGGCATTTGGATTTTTAATCAGCCATTCATACTCTAAGAAAATATTGCACGTAAAGGAGTTTAATTATATTTGGTTCAAGTTCATTTACATCTTCAGAAGAAAGAAAAAAAAACTGCCCAGTACTTCTATCAACACCAGAAGATCTTAGAAGAACCTATTTTTAAAAATTTTATTTCTCAAGAAGTAATATACATTTGAATTTTTAGGTGATGAAGTCTTGATAATTCAAGATAAATTGGAAGGCATTAAAGCAAGGTACAAAGACATAACTAAGTTGAGTTCTGATGTATCTAAGACCCTGGAGCAGGCCTTGCAGCTTTCAGGAAAGCTACAGTCCACCCATGAAGAGCTTTGTACATGGCTTGACAAAGTAGAAGTGGAATTACTTTCATATGAAACTCAGGCCCTGAAGGGAGAAGAATTAAGCCAAGCACAAGAAAGACAAAAAGTATGTTTAATTCATATGTTTTTCCTCTCTGTTATCTTTTACATATTTGCTTTGTAATGAAATAATAATAGTTTTCTAGTTTAGTTAATGATATGCCTCCTGGAAAGAAAAATGCACAAGTTGGCAACAGACCAACTGTCTAAACAGTCAGAGGGCTAGAAATAGGATAGCTCTTTCTAGAGTCATGTGGTACACTTAAAAGTTTGGGGATCATTTTTACTAATAGTAAAATAGAAGGAGACTTACATGCTATTCTTTACATGCTGTTTCATGCTAACAGATTTCAAAATGGCTACCAGTTGTTTTTTTTCTGCTGGATTTCAGTAAAGAGAGTCATTTCCTTTTATGGAAATGCCCAGTATTTAAAAAACACTATTAATCTGAGATTAATAAAAATGCCTTTGGGGATTCTAAAAGATATCCCCAATGAAATAGACTTCTGTTAGACCAAACAGACTTGTCAGAGATGTTGGCTATGATTTTTTTTTTCATTCCTGAAGTGTGGTCTCACGTTGGTAGAGTGGACACATAGCACACTACTCTTTCCATGAATGTGATTTTATTTGGATGATTGGATTATTGAATGAATGCTTGCCATCTCAGAGAGTTACTTAATTTGGGCACCAGTTTTCTTCTTAATTTGTCAGTGATCGACTGATGGAGAAATAGCCTTCCAGCATATCAAGAATATGTTAGTTTACTTCTTTTGGGTTCCTCAGTTAAAATACTGACACTTTGGAATTTTTATTGAATTTTGAAGAATTAAGGGATGCTATACTGACAGAAGGAATACATTTAAATACCACTCAATAGAAGTTCCTCTTAAGAAATCTGATTTTCTCACAGCTTTCAATAACAAAACCTAATGTTACTGAAGTGGGACTGATATAGGAAATAACTGGCCTACAAAATTCTTCAGCCTCATAGAATAGAATGGAAACATGTGGAAGCTGTGTTAATTTAGGCCAAATATTTGTATATTTAGCTTAAATTCCCTTTTCAGGAGTTGAAAAAAGAAGCCAAGAGCAACAAAGACTTAGTAGATGCCCTTAATGAAGTCAGCAGTGCCCTGTTGGAACTGGTGCCATGGAGAGCAAGAGAAGGACTGGACAAAATGGTGACGGAGGACAATGAACGCTACAGATTAGTAACTGACACCTTAGCTCAGAAGGTGGACGAGATCGATGCAGCTATCCTGAGATCCCAGCAGGTATCTGTAAAAAAATGTTCTTTGGGCAATTAACAAAAGTGTCCCCTGAAGCTTCTATTTGAACAAAGGTTTTGGTTAATAATATTTCCATTCATTTGTTATGCTTCAATAACCAAAGGAGGGTGGATTTAAAAAGAATTTGACTTAGCTACTCAGACATCAGAATGCCCTAACAAAGCTAATCTGTACATTGTTGCAGCCATCTGTCTCATTGTTGAGTGGTTTATCCTTTCTGACACAGAAACTGGACAGATCAACTCAGCTTTTCAAATCCCATACTGTGTGTCTTTATGTACTGTTAACCTTATGCTTTTTCATTCTCAAATGTAATTTCTATTGGAGAAAACTTATTTTGAATTAGGATATGTGATTTAACCTTTCATTTACATGCAGAATTTGCAAAGAAGTCCCTAAACAAGATAAAAATTGATGTATTGATGTGGTCTTTTGCCAGGGTGGGCTATGGGGGATAGGAGAGTAGGTGGAAATTTATAATCATTTCTGATTTGTCTGGAAAATGATTATGTAGGGCACCTAGAGAGATAATCTGTGAGCATTTCACAGTCCTCAGATGCTCCCAGGTAATAGTCCTGAGAGAAATATAGGCAGTGAGCAGGACCCTAGCAAGATAAGCAATTTTTAAATGTTTTGATGAACTTTTACTGGACTCTGTGTGAATATTTACGTTATGTCATCAGACTCTTACAAATATTCTGTGTGGAAGCCAGAATGATATTGCAGTGTGCTTAAGAGAAGAGAGCTTTCAGAAAGTATACGACTAAGCTTTTGCTAACATTTCAAGATTTTATTTGCTGGGTGCTTCCTTTCAAAGCCACTAGAATCATATTTTAGCTGAGCTAGCCAAATGGAAAAAAGGAAAATCTGAATGAATTCTGTAGAGATAGAACTTCCTTTCTACAATTGACTTACAGTTTTCAATAGGATGAGTCAAATCTCATTTTAATGTTAATGGGTTTATGGTCATGAGCACATGAATATGATGACAGAGAAAGGCACTGTTGAAAAAAATTTTTTTGTGAAGAACATTTATGACATCTCATTCATGCATGAGGAATTTATGTCCATGTTGTCTTTGAATACTCCGGGTATTTTGATTATGTATGCCTGGTTATTGTGGATAATTAAGTTTGTTTATTTGTGAGGTTCATTTAGCTTTTGAAAAATATGAAATTTCTATGTTTTGTACGTTAAAAAATTTTGCTTCTGATTAATGTGCTAGAGCTTGAAGAGACTTTACAGTCCATCTAGGATAACCCTCTCATTTTACAAATAACTAAACTGAGGTTCTTCTGCAGAGCTGGAAGTGAAAAACCTCCATAAAAAGCAACAAAAGTATCACTCACTTTAAGGAAATGTTTCCTTGTACAGTAAGTAGGCTAGAGGTGATTAGCTCAAATCAGTGAGGGCAAGGCTAAGTGGGTCTGAAATCATATTGGTCCATTAGCTTTGGAGTTTGCTTAATCTATGATCAAAGTTGTGCAGTACATTCTTAAACCCTTAAAGAAACCCTTAAAGAAGACATTTTACCAGTGATTCTCATGTAAAGAGAGTATGGATGGTTTGGTAAAAATCCATTACCACTCTTAAAAAGAAAATAACTGAAAATGTATCCTACTGATGGTTGAGTCTTATCTTTATATAGAATTGATAGCATATTGGCTGTGATTGATTATTGGAAATCCCATTGACTTTCAATTTGAAAGATAAGATTTCTGAATAGTTAAGAAAGGAGTAAGCATTTATGTAGTGCCTACTCTGTGCCAGGCACTGTGCTAAGTGCTTTATAAATATTATCTCACTTGATCCTCACAATATCCCTCCTGTGGTTCAGGGTTTGTGTTGAGGAAGCTGAGGCAAGCAGTGCTCAGGAGTAAGAGTTGTGTCTGGATTTGAACTCAGGTCTTCCTAACTCTAGGCGTAGTGCTTTTTCCTTTGCATCGCCTAGCTGCCTCTGTGCCCAGATGTTCAGGTGCCAGGTTAGAGGCAAGAGAGGAACCAATTGATCAAGTTGTACATTTTGTAGAAGCAGTGGATGGTATGAATGCATTCTCTACCATATAAGAAGTACTTACCAAACTTGGTAGCTACATTATCATCCTCTCTCCCTTCTGAAATTTCCTAGCCCTTAGCAATTTTGTCTGTGCCTTTACTCTGTCCTTAAAGCTTCCAAAATGTAGAATAAAAGGAGAGAGGAGGATGTCCAAAAGAAAATGATCAAAAATGTAAAATGCCGCAAAGAGGTTGAGAAGGACAAGGGTTGAGAAAAGGCTACTGGACGTGACAATTAAAGAGATCTCTGGTCATATTGGAGTGGGCGTTTTCATTTGGATACTAGAGTTTGAAGTCATTGCAGAGGGTTTAGATGACAGTGAGAAGAAAGTATGTGGTAGCATCAATGTAGATCCCTTTCTCAAGCAATTTAGCCACAAGAGGGAGCAGAAAGGAAGGACAAAACTAGTAATAATAGTAGCATCAAGTGATGCAGAGGGGTGTGTGTGTGTTGGTGAGACTTGGGAATACTTGAGGGAGAGATCAGACATTAGAGGTAAGAGCTGGGATAATAAGGGTAGCAATCTGCTAGAGAAGATGGGAGGGGATGTGGTCAAAATGCATGTAGAGTGGTTGTCCTTGGAAAGGAGAAAGGCGACATCTTCATCTGAGACTGCAACGAAGGTGGATATGTTGGGCAGAAATGTGAATAATGTGACATGAGTAGGAAGGAATAAGGAAGACCTCTTAGTGAATGGCCTCAAGAGGCTTAACAGTAAAAGAGCGAGGTATATCATTTACTATGAGATATTATAATTTTACTTAGAAATAAAAATTTCCATCCTACTTTTTTTCTTTGCCTTATGCATAAAAATGTGCTCTGCCTCAATTGATGCCATTGTCATGATATGCTGAAGGAAGTATAATGCTGTCAGTATTCTCTAAATTTTGCAAAGCTCTAGTCATTCCTCTCAAGTTACACTTTAGTTGAATATATCAATATTTTTTACATCATAACCATAGGATTTTGAGCTGGTTGGGGTCTTAAGAAAATGTCACCTTGTAATTTGGCATGAGAATTTGATGACTAGAGAGGAAAAAGGACTGGATCAGAATTACATAGATACTATAACACAGTATAGTAGATTCAAACCCAGGTAGGTCCTTTGACTCAAAGTTAAGTGCTTTCAGCTGTAACACGCTGCCTCAGTTCTCATAGATCAACAGAAAAAGAAGGTATTCTTCAACTTAGAAAGCAAAAAAAAATTGGGGGCTTAAATTATGTTTATAGAAATGCCCCGCTCCATCCCCCCAATATGTCAGGGTTTGGAGATTAAATTGTGAAGTAAAAAAGTACTGTTTAATGAAGATTCTAATTTCTTGGTTCTTAAAATTTTGCCCATATTTGTAGTATTAGGTCTAAATTCCCAACTTAATATTTCATTGGAATACAGCTGTGGCCCTGGGTCCTCAAAACTTCTGCCTGCAGAGAACAAGCTCTAGGAAAGTCTTACTAGAATGAAAAGTTTTTGAATATCTTTGGACCTAATGATCAGTTGCTTTTCTGTTGTCTGAAGACCACTCTAGCAAAAACTGGAGACACTTATAAGGATACACAAGGTGTGATGAAATTTTAGGCCATAGGCAGCCTTGAAGATTGTTGACTTAAGAAGAATTGCTATCTGCATTAACTGAGGGACTACTGAGAGAGACAAAACACAGGTTCTGTATTAAGGTGTTAGAAAATTTAAATAAGTGATGTATTTTTCCTTGTTTATTGTAGGTTCTGCCAAAAATTATTCTTGCATTATAAATTCCAAGATATTGAGATAGTTTTTGAAAAGAAAGCTTCTAAATATTTGTATATGCGCACACATATTTAAAAGTTGTCAAGTTGTGTTACCTTGGACTAACTATGAACCATTAGAGGAGGCTAAAAGTAGTGATTTGTTTATTCCAAGATGTAAAAGACTGAGGAAAGGAACTTATTTATTATTATTATTATTATTATTATTATTATTATTATTATTATTATTATTATTATTTGCGAGGTAGTTGGGGTTAAGTGACTTGCCCAGAGTCACACAGCTAGTGAGTGTTATGTGTCTGAGGCCGGATTTGAACTCAGGTTCTCCTGACTGCAGGGCTGGTGCTCTATCCACTGTGCCACCTAGCTGCCCCATTAATTATTTCTTTTCCAAGGGTCTGAAGGTTTGGGGTATTGGGCAGTGGAGAGAAAGACATGACAACATGGTTTAAATAGGGTCAGAATGGAACTACTCATAGGATGGGCAAACTAGCACTGGGTTTGTGGGAGACCATTTATGTCAGACAGAAGACAGATACTTTTGCTTGAATAATGAACAAAACTTACACGTTTAGTCTATTATATTTAAAAAAAAGAAAAAACTTAACTCCTTATCAGCATCAACCAGCGTGCTATTGTAAGTGGAAAATCATGCTGTGGAAAATAATTTTTTTGAGGATTAAAAAGCATAACTTATGGAAAGAGAGTGAGGATTGTATGATACGACCGTGTACATGATATATCTAATCAACTAGCTGAAGAGTGATTGAGCAGATTTACAAAGGTGCCTATTCTGAGACTATTTCTAAGGATAATTATTACCTGAATGGGGGCAAAATAATGTAAATAATGGTGGAGAGTTTTCTAGAGATATCTGTTACTTCCCATCCCCTCGGGGCAGGTGCCATTATCTGAGATAGGAAATCTAAGCAATTTTGTATTCAGAACCTAAACAAAATAAGATACTCTTTGTTTTCCTGTTTCTTTCATAGCACATTTTAACCTAATAGGTTATGTGGAGTAGAGGAGGGACATTTGTCCCTGAAGGATGAACAAAAAAGAGAATCCGGTTTGTAAAGCCACAGTTCTCTTCTAAGATACTGGTTTGTTCGTTACCTGAAGCCTTTTTATAAATATGCCTTTGTCATTGTTGAATGTTATGTATGTACCTCACAGACTTCAG